TATATGAGACGCTGTACCTTTGAATTATACTATACATATATTTGATTGTTTCCGTTTTGAACAATAGCGAAAACTACAAAAAAGTGTATACCTAACAGTGTCATTTGGTATCATTTAACAGTGATGAGTATTGCAAAAGCAAGATTTTATCTTCTCATTTCTGACGCACACTGATTGTAGTCTAGCGTCTAGGTTAGTGCTGCTATATATTAGTGTTTACAGCGTTTGAGGGCTGTCAAATCTATAAATCCTTAAAAAAATAAGAGTACCGCACAGGTACTCTTATTTATATAGATGCGACTTTTTAACTATCGGGGGCAGTGTAGTATTCCACAAGTTTAAGCAAAGCGAATATTTACAGTATTGAATACTTCTTAGCAGGAACATCGACATTGCCAATTAATTCGGTTTGTTTTTGTGTAATTTCAGACACATAAAACACTACAATTTCGAACCCTATTTAGAGTTGCAAGTGAGTGCGATTTTTGTGCGTACGTTAACTACAAAATTTAAATTATTTTATTTTGTTAGATATTATTAATGCAATAGTAAAGATCTCATAAGATTTCTTACTTAACATTCATTGACAAAATACTATATTATTTGTAAACGTTCTAAAATTATATAATTTTACTTTTTGGCGGAAGGCTTCGGTGTCTGTCATACGGTTTATATACATCGACATCGCCGTTAACTCTAGCTTCAAAGTGGCAGAAGCCAATTAATTTTATAACATTAGCATAGATTTAAAGATAGAAAATATTGTGTTTCTGATTTCAGTCAATAAAGAATTATTATCTTAATGATACACACTCTTTTCTCTATTAGTGCGTCTCACGCAGATGTGTTAGCTAGAGTTCATTTTTCTGTAAATTCCTCCTAAGCCTGCTGTGCCAGCTTGGCAGCGTACATATGAATACACATCCGAGGGGATACGTTTGTTAACAAACATACTTCTACAGAACTACTTTCGTATTTATATTTAATTATGGTCTCACTATTTTCAACCTTTTTAAAAAACCTTACTTCCTGCTCTTTTTTAAATCCCAACTCATTTTAATGAAAAAATTTGATACTTATGCAAAGAGTTGTTTACCTAGGTACATGAAAAGTTTGATAAATTAATTATTGATGAATAAATCTTTATAACTTGCCTATGTAATATAAGAAATTCAACAGCAAATATTCATGATTTTATTCTTTTTAAAATTGTCACACGACTCCTAAATTAGTGGTCAATCAGCATTAAGAACCTTTTGAATTTTTGTTCAACTGCGGTCATTTTATTTTTTCAAATGAAGCTGCAAATGGTAAGGACATGTCTCGAAGCGGAGGCGCCCTTGCAATCGGAGTATTATATATTTGCAGGAACTTGCAAGGACCAATCTGGACAGTACTGCGAACCTATATCACGCACATTTCTTAGGGAATCAGTAATCAGACAAATTTTTAGAACTTCGGCGGTCATTCTTCACTCATAACTATATCCTCACTCTAATTGTCGCTGGGATATCTCGAATCACATGATAGTAATTAAACTATTTATAGAGACGTAAGATGCATACACTTATAATTTGAATTAATTTCGACATAAACATTAAAAATTCTTTGTACCTTTAGTACATGTGGTAATCAGATTACGCCTATTCTGAAAAATGAACTCATCTGCTTCAAGGCATCAAAAATGAACGTATTTACTTACGATTTAGGTTCGTCGCTGCAGCAAGTTGATATAAGGTAAGTGAGTCAAGGCAATCGATCAATACGTACACTTTATTATCAATCACATTAATAACTATTTATAGATTAGAGTTATTTGATTAAAAGTAGAAAATAATTCCAGTATCTACGTCCTGACTCTAGCATCACACTACCGATACTAAGCATAATCTGCTAGAATCGTCAAAACGAATCATATGAGCCACTATATAACCCTGGAGATCTTAATAGTTAGTGGAAATTACTGTCTGCATCCACCTAACAGCTCCATCGTCAGGTCAGCTCCAAGAGGCAAAATTTTAGTATTATGACAACCTAGATATACTTACATACTAAGCGTCATTGTAATACCATAATTAGAATGAGATTAAAATTGACTCGTAAGATCTTTTTATTGACAGATTTTACAGTGACAGTACTTGTAACTGTAAAGTTACTAAAGGCAAATTAAAATCATTTCTAAAGTTTAACGTAACTCATACTAAGGGAAGGCAAATTTCTTAAATCTATGAACGTGATATATATTAGTTAATTACCGATAACTACATCTACAATGTGTAATTTATCCATGCAACAACTAATAGAAAAGGTACGGTTTAGAATTAGTAGTTTTGTAAGGAGTTTTATCATGGTGTAGTCTCCTAAACATTGACCGTTCGCAGCATGACGAGATTACTTTTAGAAAGATCTCTAAAAGTAATCTCGTCCTGCAAGCAAAGCATGTTTTATTGACGGCATAAGGACAGAATAAATATAGAGCAGATAAAAATATACCAGACCAGTATTTAGCTACAAAGCACACCAACAAATACTGTTACTCTTCAGTGTATTCTACTAAACCCCTGGAATAAACCGCTTACTTGATTCAAATTGACGATTCCAACGGCATTGTCAAAGGTCTAGTGCAAGTTTATTTACCATTAACTCGATCGTCGACCCCGACAACGTTCAGTGATTGGCCCGTACCGAACTCTTTACCAATTGCCACGCCGAACGCCGTCGACGATCGACTTGATGTAAAATAAACTATCACTAGAACCTTTGATGGTAACTAGAGAAATTATCTTTGACTTTTATCTCGGTTGTTTTATGTGTATAATCGTCCTCTCGCTTTCCTATGAACGATCATAGGAAAGCGAGAGGACGATTATACCAGTTAGTTAACCATTCCCACGAGGGAATGGTTAACTAATAATTATAGTTAAGCTACTAATAAAACGAGCATCGGCTATATTCATTGAAGTGCCAACAATAGGTAGTTATCTCGAAGTCGTTATGTTATCACTTTTATCTAAAGGTGAATATGGATCATGCAACGAATCGCATGTAGAAAAGCGAACAACTATATTGGAATTAAATCACTTTTATTTATAGCAAAATATATCGGTATTAAACTGACATTTTAAAGCGCGCGAAAACGAACTTGCAGTTTTGATGACGTCCCTGTCGTACGTATGTACTCGTGTTGTCATGAATACAAAATAATACTTTCGTAGGTATGCTTTCATGGTATTGCTTGGTAAATTTCAACATTCGTGCCATTTTTGCGTGCATAGAGTACTGTAAAGTCCATCTATCTGTAAGATCCATCAACGTCATGTAGTCACAATGCTACCAATAATGTTCTGAGAGAAAGGCCGCACTAATTCATGTTTCATGCCAATCTGTTCAGCCGTTTTGATAAAAACGGGCAGATTTATACCTGCAAAAAAAACACTTATATGTAAATATGAGAATTAAACAGTATAATCTAGCTACTATTTGCATGAAACTGAAAGCGAATTTATTTTGATTCTTTATTGCTGATGTTTTTTAAGATACTTAGCCATAATTATACAAAAATAAGCTAGCCTTATCAGTTATCTCAACTCGAAACTACAAGAGTTAATCACTTTATCTTTACGAAGAATCTATGACGTGTTAAACGTCATACATTGACGCAAAAGGTCGAAATCGAAACAAGTCCCGTGTGTTTGAATCGAAACAACTGATATCTAGATGTTGAATAAAATACAAAGTAAAACTATAATTTATACATACCTCAGTAGTATAATCCATTTTATTGCTACACTTGAAAACTCTGCACTTTCAACCAAAAATGTAAATATTCCGTTACACGTATTATTTTTTTAGAAAATTCTTATACATTTTTATATTACTGTAATGACACAAGTTCCATAAATATTATATTTGCATTCCCTGTTGTAATAATAGAGCAGACCTTACCACGCTATCTTTAGTAATGTTCCCATCATGTGTATGCATCAATGTGTAACCGTCTCCCTTGTGTTATGTCAAATTTCTTCATAATAAACAATAAATAAATCTAAATTGTTATATACCTTCCTAATCTATATAATCTCCTATCTCGCTGACATTGTCTGGTATCATTCTCAAAGATTTTCTAAGAACTTTAAAGAATTGGACTTTAGGCAACTGTAACATCGCAATTTAAAAACCAATAATAGTCTATGGTAGTAATATTTGTTTTTAAATTCACAGTCGAAATCGAAGTAAATAAATAGAAACAACGCAAAATAAAGACTAATTTATTAAATACCATTAACAATTTCTTACATAATATATGTCCTAACAATTGACAGTTTCACGATCATAAATAACCGAATTTATTAAATTATTTGCACAATTTTAAATTTTATTCATTGGGATGGGAAAAGGCACAATAAGCTTGAATCAAAACTGCAGCGATAAATTCTTTTTCACATTTTAATATAAAATGTGTCCTAAAATAATCACAGATCTTTTAAAAAAAATGACTATGTCATTTAACAAACCATGTATACAAACAACTATTAAATACAATTTCAAACAATTTGATATTAACACTGTTTTATATATTCGTATACCAATAACATAAAATTGTTCCCCATTTTGAGCAATATTACCAAACATTTGAGCTGTGGAATTATCAAAACCTATATTTTCGTGAAAATCGACTAATGTTACTAGTGGAGAAAATCAACTTCAACGAGGTCAGGGTTAATCGTCATAACTATCTTATTAACAAATAATTATCTTTATTTGAATATAGAATTTAAGAAAATAAATATCCTAATTATTTTATTGCATTATTATGGCAGTGTGCGATAACCAAATGCTGTGGCTACTTATATTTTCCTGAATACTGTTAACTTCATCTGTATTCCCTATTTAAACATAAACAATTAATATAGATAAATCGTAGTAAAAAACAGTGTCTTAAAACATCAGGATTTGCCTGTTAGTGAACCTTCTGCTTAATAATAAGTGCTAAATTATGTCTATGGAGTGGTGGCACATTTCGGTCTGTGGTCTTCATCACGCTTTGACGTCCAGGTCATATTTTTTTTCACTGGCGTTCCTAAAATGTATGGAAATTTAAATAGCTGTTCGGTATTAATAAAATGCCAGAGGCGGCGAATTTGTTTGGTTGCTTACAATCACAAATTATTGTATGACATTTAGAAAAACTCATAGATTCATTCAAATTTAGAATAATATAAAACGTCACTTACATTTTGAATTTTGAAATAAGAATTCAAAATTAATTAGTTCGTTTGACAGGCACTCAAAATGTAAAAAATACTTGGGAAAAAAATCTAAAATTAAATATATCTAAACATATTTTAAAAAATCGCCACCTCTTCTAACTACAGTCACAAAGCATCTATGTACAAAGAAGTATACAAGAAGACCATCCTGTGTTATCAGAAGGCTATGTAATACATACCAATAGGATCGACCATAAGGAAAAATTCCTTCCCCTCACCACTGCTCGTCATTTCTGAACTTTCGTCACTACTGTTAACCCTCACAAAACGTGTACTGTGCGATTCTCTGAAAAATATTAACCACAAAACGTTCCTTCAATCTGTTATAAACCCGCCATTTTGATTCCCAAATGATGTAAGCTAAAGCATGGTCCCGATGGTCGATGAGGTAGAATATTTTTTGTAATTATTTTTTTTTGTGTTTATTACAAAAAATATTCCGTTTTTTATGCGCATATGTTTTTCTTTTTTCATTTCTGCGTATATTATGATGTGATCTTTTCTCTCTTTAAGTTCTCGATTCTTCGACTGGAAGGACTGAATGATTCTCAGTAGACTAGACACAGTCCTTAATCTTCTATTTGTTCATTTTTATTCACGTCTTCTATAAGCCCCCAGTGAACTTAAACTTCGAATCTTCCCTTGGTTTGAAATTCTTCATCACATGGAGATCAAAACGCCCTTTTTCCATGGTTTTATCCTCAATTTTGTACTCCCAACTTGACAGCATATAATATGTATAATATAATTTAAGTCCTCCTGTAGAAGCTGTTTCAGGTCTTGGTCGTAGCCATAAACGATTGCTGATGTCCTTGTTGTCTGATCCATTCTTTATTCAATATTCCACTTTTCGAACATTTTTGTAGGACATACTTGTCTACATTTTCCTCTAACATGTTACTTCTAGTTGAGCTTCGTGTATGCCTTGACACGTTGCCTTCTTGAGATCCATTATTAAGTACATAAGACAGACATTGAAAAGACAGATGTTTTAGTGTGTGAGTGAAAGTGAGTCACAGACCGTTATTACTATGTTAGTGAACCCGTCACCGCAATGCCACATTACGTGGAAAAGGATTATTCTTTTTTTAATTTGTTAGTTCCACGTAACATTTACTAAAAGCCAAGAAAAGAAGTTGCCGTGTCCTTTAAATTAAATTAAAATACTATTGTATTGTATAAAACAAAAGTCATAGGAACTAAGAAATATATTTTAATATGTAAATACACAAATGTATACCCAAATGTATGCCCAGAATTAGAGTCACGTCGAACACTCATGTTATTTCGAGTAAATTGATATTTAAAAACTTTTGCATCGATGAGGTTTCGATAAGACTCAAAATCATGCAAGAATGAAAAAAAATGAAAATAATAAAAAATAAAAGAATATCAAAATTGAAAAAAAAAAAAAAAGTTAAAATAATAAACAACTCAACCAAAAAAGAAAAAAGAGAAAACAAAAGATTTTTAAGACTATAATTTGAAAGTAGAACACGACAACTCCCATTATATAATATATTATGTTTATGTGTAGTAACGTACCTGTAGAACACATAGTGTTGGAGCATGAAGAATATGTCGAAGGAGAGGCTAAATAGGCCGAGGCCGAATTTGGTGAAGTCGCCGAAGAACGAGACCCAATCGTTGTAGTTGTACCCGTTGAGGACCATTTGTAGCACGGACAGGAAACCGCCGATGAAGTCTAAGAAGATGTTGCCGATGCTCCACCCGACCGTAGATTTGCGCTTGTAATTCATGTATGCCTGCAAATTAAAAATTAAAGTTTAAAAATAGTCCATTTGAGTGTCATTTAGTTTATAATCGCAAATCTCATAAAGTTATAATAATAATAATACATGAAAAATGACACAAAGGGCCACCTAATCGCCAATTAGGCAAATTCTATGTTACCAGACTGCTGATAGACATTTAAACAATTCTAAATACACAATAAGATATACCAATTGATCGTCATCAAAAAAAATTAGTTTTTCGGGTGGGAATCGAACCCAAGACCTCTGATTCAACAGGCAGGTTAACGAAATCCTATAATAACAGACTATTGAAATCTTTATCGATCTCTCTGAAATCTTCACACAATGGTGTATTCATTTAAGCATGTGATTTACTCAAATCAGAAGACTCATTAAACTTTTTTTACGGATTAAGGGGTAAACGACCAGATGGGGCAGTTTTGAGTCTTTTTTGAGTTCTCCCCAGGATCAGGGGTTACTCGGTGAAAATCAACGAAAGAATTGCTCAACCCCAGTTTAATGTGAAGCCATGTTTACACTCCCGTCCAGCTTGTCCATTTGTGCCGAAGCATAGTTCTTCGATAGTTAAACAAAAATTTACAAATAAAAGTTAACGTTTGTTATCTATATAAACAGAATATAAATCAAAAAGTCAGGAATGTAATGTAATATACACTAACTTTAAGTATGTGCTGGTAATGGCTATTTCTTGTACCAAAAGTTTGAACCTTTCGTACTCTTGTATCAAAAGGTTCAATGCCTTCAAATTTTTGATTTGGAGTACATTTTTAATACTACAATCTTAAATAATGTCATACATTTACATTTATATAAGCATAGTTATACATATTCATGTCTTTTGGTAATATTTGTAACGTTTTCATGTCTGAAATACTTAACCAACTATCATGATATGTTGTACACGTCATGATACAGAGCATGTAGGTATGTACAGAGAATGACCTAAGGACCTAACTTTAATTCAGCAAAAAGGTTGTGTTCGTTGAAAAAAAAAAATAACAATTCCTATTTAGATGTTTTGTAAATACAACTGCCGCTCTAGGAATATATACTAGGTCGCACGGAGTTTCCAAACATTCATGAAATGGATACAAAGAACACCCGGACTCAGAACAACAACATGTGGAGCTCGAACCCACAACATTTAAAGCAGCAGGAAGGTCGTGGTAACCGCTTAAACCACTACTCCATCCGTGCAGACAAAATGAAGGAAGAAGCCGCGAGCTTAATTTAGTATATAACCATTGTGACACTAACCTGGGGTACATATTTAATAAGCGTGATAGACAACTTGATGTAACTGCAGTAATAGAGAAAGTCGAGCCACTCGAGTTTGCCAGCGCCGCTGAGACCAGCCGTCACGATCACCACGCAGGCGAAAACAGCGAGAATGCCTCGAGCCGAGGTTGACACCCGTTGATCAGCGCGCTGGAAATTATAATTACGATTGGTCAATAAACGAAGAAGATCGGTACGATTACAAAAGTCTAAGTATTCATGAACAGATTTTAGATATATACACTCAAGTACTTTATCCCCGAAAGGGGTAGACAGAGACGTATGTAACGTTAACATTCGACTGGTCTAGTGGCTAGTGCTGTACTGCCAGAGGTCGTGGTTTCAATACCTACCTGTGTGATGAGAACGATCATTTTTTTTGTGTCTGGTTGTACCGTGTGTGAGATGTATTATTATCATTAAAAAAATACATACATATTTTAATTAAATTACGCCGAGACACAACAAATGATCACGGTCATCTCACTATATTTGTCATGGGCAGGAATCCAACCCACAAACTCTAGCCTAGCAATCGGACGCAATAATCACTAGGCCAACAGGCACTCTCTATTAACCCAGTCAGTGGATTACACGTTTTAGCAATTTGACGTTTATTTTTTGTCATCAAATATTTGTGGCTTAGCTTGATAGCTAGGGATAGCCTAAACGTCAATTGCATCGATATATCACATCATAACCGCATCAAATGGCTTTGTTTTAATTTGATATAATCGATATTCCATCATATCGATATTTAGAATCGTAACAGTATCGCAGAGAGAGGGTACATCAATGTGATATGTTTTTAATCAGCGCTTATACAAAAACATACAGTTTTGATAAGGGCTTTGGATGAAACCAGTTAAAAATTCTGACATTGTAAAATGTGATAAGATAAAATATGATAACATATATTAAATAAGATAACGTTAAAATAAACATCTAATAAATCATACTAAAGTGCTAGAAAGATCTATCTAAAATAATCTAAATCGATTTTAATAATATTATACCTACCTTTACGGAAATTAATGCGATTACGTAAAAGGCATTATATACCTTTGAATACTTAAGGGACAAGAGTGTAATAAAACTAAATTATAATATTATTAGATTGTAAGTGTCCGTGTGGTGACGGATTAAAAATACAGAGTCTCACCCATCCCTATTCATCCCGTGGGTGTCGTAAGAGCCGACTAAGGGAGCAAACTACAGCACTGCAGAGAGAAGGAAAACTTGACACAAACCCTATACCAACCCGGCTGGCCAGCGTGGCGAAAGCCTCCTTTCTAAGGAGAGGCCTATGTCCAACCGTGAGCTATTAAAGTCTGTCGATGAAGATGATGATGATTGTAATGATTTAAATATGAAAAAAAATAGTTACTTTTTATTTTCAACGTCAGATCAGTTTACAACATTAACTTTGAAGGGACAATGGAGATAACTTTAACAACAAATTGTACGAGTATTGGTATATTATCAAGTATCTGACTGATTCAATACCTGAAAATGCAATGGTGACCCATATATTCACATCCATGGCGCTATCTTCACATCATCCTCTACAAAAGGCTCGTACAAAGCGAAAGCTACGATTTCACATTTCGCTTTGTACGTAGTAAAACATACCAAAATCTGGATAAAGTCTCAGATATAACTATTAGCCAGCTATAATATCTAGAGTAGTTCATTCGAACGCTTTCATAATACTGCTACTGTTGTATGAAAAGGCAAAAGTCTGATTACACACGCAATAACATTTACACATGTTAGCGCGTGCCATTCAACCTCATCTCTACGTTTAATAATAACGACGTTACTGTATTGATAAATACAACAGCGATTTTGTATCAACCAAGACTCGTCGCTGAAGAAGATTCATTCATTCGTAAACTCTCAAAGGTATAGGTCACTGAGGAGTTAAACAAAGCTAGTCAAAGTCAAACAAAGTTATTTTTAAATATAATTCAATGATACAATGTTTGTTTAATTCGCTGGACATAGGCCTCTCCTTAGAAAGGAGGTTTTGGCCTACTGTAAAACGCTGGCCAGACGGGTTGGTATAGGGTTTGGGTCAAGTTTTCCTTCTTTTTGAGGTGCTGGTGTCCTGCGTTGTTTTGCGCCCTTAATCGGCTCTTACGACACCCACGAGATGAATTGGGGTAGTGAAATTCCGTATTCTTAATCCGTCACTACACGGACTTATAATAGTAACAATAACTATACTAACCTCATAAATAAAGCACTGGATGATAGTGATGAAAGTAGCGAAAGTAGCATGCATGGAAAAGAACACATCGTTCAAATGCACCGGGTTCAAGCCGCGAGGGTGTCGCGAGAAATATTCGTTCTGTAAAAAAACAATCATATCTTCTGTAAATTAAAAATTTTTGCAAAATATAAAAAGGACCTAAAATAATACCCTGAAGTATCCCACAATATATTATATCGGACACATATCACTAAACGTTTATTCAATGTTTTGTATTATTTAAATTTATCACAATTTAAGTAAGGTTAACAATAAGTTTATCATTTTGTATCGGGCTTTGGTGACTCGTGGAACAGGTGTCCAGATAGGTATATGTATAGGTACCTATCTAGGACACCATTCTCCCACAAATATTTTGTTAGACTTAACTTAGAAGTTATAACAACTTAGAAGTTATAACATATACATTTATATTATTATTATCTTTATATGTGAGATCGAAACTATCCCAAATTCTGTAAATATCAACCAACTTGCAATAAATCCACAAAATTGGAACAAATATTACAAATGTTTTGGTCGATGGACGTGCATAAATTTTATGACAGGTTATTCATTGAAGTACCCCATTGTTTAAATAAACCGCGGTTTGTCGCGGTTTAGAAATTGTGCGGCAAATTGTATGTATGTAATTTTACAAGAAAACAATAGCTTTGTAAAGTAAATGGATCTGTCCATTTACTTTACAAAACAAAGCTTAGAAATGTGCATAAAAAATAGTTTTATTGTATCTATCTGTTACTGAATGCAAAACAATTGAAAAAACTTACTTGAATAGCTTCGGAGAAAAACAAGGCGCAGTTAAACATAGAGTACATGATAAACCCAAAAATGTTAAGGCTCAAGAAGTCAAAGTTGAGACCGACGACGCTCTTTCTCTTGAAGTTGACATAGATCTGAGGATAGAATGAGACTGACCACGCCGCGAAGTAAATCCATCCCATGATGTACGAGACCACTTTAATTATGTAAGAATGCATCACTGTTACACGAAGGAATATTGAATTTTCGCTGAAATAAAACAAAGAGTTTTTAATAGTCATGTTTATGCATAGGAACAAGCATGAACAGTTGAAAATTATCCAATGATATCCTTTATGAATATCTTGATGAATAGATTTATATAATTTATAATTATATATAATTCAAAATCAAAAATTAAAAACAAGTTAACATTTTTATTTCATTATCGTTGCAAGGACGTTGTTAAGCTAGTTGTCTATTTCTGTAAGAAAATTATCCCACCAAAAACATTTTCATGGAAAATATTGCAGAGACGAGATCATATGGCTCGCACTGTCAAAAAGTTGTCAGATCTCATGTAGAACCCAACTTCTAACTCTACAAGCCCTAACTTCATAAACTACACCTAAGTCAAAATATGTGGCTTGGCCGTTTCGTTACTATAAGAACTTATATAATATTACGTATAACAGAAAAGAAATGAACAGTTAATTAATTATTCATCTTACGCCCATGCGACGGTAGCGAAACCGCCAAGCAGATACGAAACTCTTATTCAACATGTTTTCTTTTGAACTTTTTAGTTATGTAGCTCATATATAAATGTAACATGAAAACTTTATACACGTCGTCGTCACTAAGTACATTGAACGTTTGAACGCTGTACTTGAGAATAATAATAGTACTCACTTGACAAATCCTGCAGGTGTAACGTTGAAATAAACCTCAGAGTTTCCCGGGCTCTTGGCGTAAACGGAGACATCGTACGTCGTCTCTACTGTACTATTGGGCTCTTTGGAACCCGGAATGTCTATTTGTTGTGGCACTAATTGGACTATGTCCGGATGCTGGATTGCTGCAGTTATTATCAGACTAGTGTTGTATTGACCGCTACGGAAAAAAAATTGGAGAATTATAAATCTAGTATTCATAAGTTCAAAAAATTATATGAATATAAATATTTTTGGGGTAAGATATTATGACTACTAATCAAAATGGTTGTCAGTTATTTATTTAGTAAGAAATTATTTATTTTGTATTTGATGTTTACTTACATTTGTACAAGTTTCACAAGTTCTGTACCGTCTACTAATATGTTGAGATCTGTGTCACGAAAATACAATTTCTGGGAATGTACACTTGGCATACCTGAAAATAAAAATATTTATATAGACTTTTATAGATCCACGTCACCTAAAAGGTTTCAAAATTACAATTATACAGGTACTCCCAAAACACATTAAATTAGGTTTATATCATTATTAAAAAAAAATATTAACTACAAATTGAATGGTGGAAATTACGTTATATTCTGAAATAATTAACATTGTCATGTATTACAAGTATGCTTGTTAACCCAGTTGGGGTCCCAGGTTGGGTAGAACCGATGAGCGGTTGATCGCAAGTCCGGCTCCTTATGTTTTAAGCCCCCGCCGCTTAACAAAGGTTGGCTAGTGTTACATATCCGACAAACTTCAAAAACGTAGTCTTTCATAGTATTTCTATAAGCTAGTCTGACAACTAGTTTTTACAATTAGTTTTAACATGTTCGAATAAAGAACAAAACAAAGTTAAAAACAAAAACGTGCATTTATACTTGTGTTTGTAACTACGGTTCATTCAAACGAGTGGTATTTAAGTATAAACTGGCAAAATTTGTATTCAGAACACACTTACCTAAGAATAAAACAATAACAAAAGACATGATTATCCTAAGACTAGGGGAGCACGCGTCCCGCGCCGTCAATACTGTTCCGATTCCAGCCATCTTTATGTTCTCTTCGATCTTTTATCCGGTTTGTATCTGTGAACAATGAAAATTTACGATTACGAAACGACGAATTAGAAACATAAAAAAAACTATAAAAACTACTTGGTAACTAAAATAGAGTTCATTGACACGCTACTTTATGTTTGTTCTATCAGAGATGATTTCCTGCTGGACAAAGGTTCAACTTGAACTCTTCCTTGAACTAGTAATGACTAGAAAGGAGAAAAAGCGTAAAATTAATCCCCAACTTATTTATCTAAACAAAAGTATTAAAGGCACATAGTGAATGAACGTATTTGTTAATAGTAAACCACTTTACATCATAATGTTACTCGACAGTGCAACCTGTTTACATTGTTGAATTCAATTACGACTTAGAATCTAATCACAGACCTTCAAACCGTTTTTAAAAGCACACTAAAACCCAATTTGTAATGCAATATTATGTATGAGCAATTATTTTATACTCTACACCAAATTCTGTACCAATTTTTGGCAATATAAAACTTTATCTTTTTTTTTTGGGTATTAAAACCTGTGTCTATCAGACCACGACACAAAGCACGCGGTTCTACTGAAGGCTAACCAGTAATTTTTCCTAAGTAAAGTTAATTAAATCACCTAATGTTTAGATTATAGATACGATACTTATACATTATAAATTAAGTACAAGGATTATAAATACGCTTCAAATATTTTGTTACATGACATATAGTAGAATGAATTTTAGCAGAGTTTTTTAAAAACGCAATGAACACAAAGTTTTTTTTTAAATATCTATGCGTAAAGTTTATAAACTTCAGGGCATGTTTATGTTTTTTTTTTATAAAGCAATAATATGATAAATGTTGAACATACCCGAGCCACATTCATGCGTTCTTTGTGTGGAAAAGAAAATCGAAACAACTTAAACCAAAGGTCTGCGTTAATAGACAACGGCTTCTTAGTTCAGTAAAATACATTTTTCATTCATTAACTATGTAGTGATTTACATAAAAATAGTTCATGGAAACAGGGCCTCAATTCTGCTATTTTAATATTGTATCAATAGACTGTCGATTGAATGTCGTCAAACTAGTTATGCACTTTTCTTATTCTACTAACTATGTAAGACCAATGGCCTCCCAATGACTTGTCACTGACACAAATGTCGTCGATGTCTTTGTAATAGTTTGGTAAACAGTTCATTTTAAATTTGTAAGAAAATTATATATTCAATTTTCATGATATGGCAATGTTGTTGATATCACCATTGATGACCTATATTACTATATCGACAATCTATTGACATTTTGCATTTTGTAGTAGTATTTTACAAGGGAATACCGATATTTTGATCAATGTCAGTAGCTTCTCAATAGCGTGTCAATGGAATGACAGAGCCTTGGCGTTAACTTGAAATAGCAGAATTGAGGCCCAGGTTTAATGTTTGATCGGTAATTGAAACTGAAAAAACAGTTGTAGGTATCTTGTGATTATTGTTGTCCTTGATAACTGATAACAGAAGCCAATTACATGACGAGCATATATTTTACATCGTGATTTAACTTTGTAAAGTGTTTGACACAAACAGATTTGAATGGAGCTGGTAAAGCGAAGAGGGATAAACTATCATACACCAATTTCCTGTAAAAATCGTCAAACATTTATACGAATAAATTATTAAAATAACCGTGGAAACAAATCTTCAACGTCAATTTTTACCTGCTCGTCCTATTGTAATAAAACTTTGTATATAAAATGTAGGATGGATGACAATACTATAATTTCATATCTTGGAGCTGTTATGGCGCAAAGTGTAACTCTTCAGTAGCAGTATTAGTAGAAGATTATAGACTATTTAACATTAGACTACGCTTTTTAACAGTGGAGCGGTGATTATAAACATAAGTGATGCTGCGGGAAATGGCTAGTGACTAATTGACATGAGAACGTGATCAGATGTTTTACTTCATAACCAACATCTGACGAACAATAAATGTTTTATATGTGGCTAAATTTGCACACGGTTACTCAAGATTAGAGGCAACTGTTAATAAACAGCAATTGGGGTCAAATATTTGTCGTTAATTAATGAACGTTACGAGCACAATTCTAAGAAATTAGAGATGTTACAATAGTTTCACGACACACACATATTATGAAAGTTTTTTTATTCAGATGCCGAGAGGAGGCAGGTAAAAAGTAAGTACATAGTTGAAATTCCTCTTTCATTTATATCAAAGTACATTTATTACTTTTATTACTTAACAAGATCGCTACTTGAATAGTGCTAAAGCATCAAACAAGAACACAGTTAAGAGCCTCTGTAGCCTACAAACACTGAAATGACCTAAGAAGATACCATGGAATGGTCAGAGTTCTTTGGACGTGTTTTTAGACCAGAGGATAATAATTTTTGGCAAGCGTTTGCTAAAGTGAACATACCTTTACAATTTGTAACATATTTAATTTTTGTAATGTAAATTATAGTTATCTGTAGGAAAGATCTGTTCTTCCTATTACTCATTGGTTATCGAAGAAGTTCATAATCTGAAGCGGTAATTAAAAAAGGGAGATTTTATTATTTAAACCCATTAAATAGAATTTGATTTGATACATGAAAAAGCAACGACTTTACGGTCCATTACGGATGACTGCATTATCTTCCCAGATATCTTTAGACTAGCGTCAGTAATATTTTTAATGAAAGAATGTATTAAATAATTTAGCAAAATGCCTACCTTTAAAACCAAAAATAACACCGACTGTTAACACGTGTCGCCAACCGCTGAGCACTGTAGTTACAGCTTCAATAAAGCGCGGATGCATGTAACTACATAATATTGGACCGATAACGCCACTAACAATTGTACTAAAACACTCACCACACTTAAATTGAAAGAAAACAATCGAGTTTTATATTACGTGAATCTTGGATTCTATATATCTATATAATATAATATTTATATAAATCTTCATCTGGAATATTTGTATAAATCTTTGTAAGAAATGACTCTTTAATCATTGAAATCTCAAATGTATTTCTTCATATCAGGGTTTAAAATATCAATCAGTGACGTCAACATATTTAAAAAAGTAATATGTATATTTATTGACAAAAAATAAATTCCCGCATTTCCCTCAACTTGTAGTTGTGTTTATTGTCACTATCTCGCTTTTATTATATGTTGTATCCCGATAATATTATTATAATTACAACCTTCATCGATAAACTTGTTATATTTAGAAGACATAAATATAAACGGAATAGTAGCACCTTAGATTATCGCGACAAAACAAACAACGAACCAATCTCTTTACACAAACAAACTCACCAGTCCAGGTTACAATTTTACCATAAATTAGGAGTGTTTATACAACGGTCTTTCAGTCAGCGTACAGTTGACTATTAAGGCTGGCCTTAACAATTCTCTGTCAATGTTTGGTATTACAATTGCGGACGTTCAACAAAGCCTTCTACCATTGTAATTGAATAGTTACACATGTTTACACTTCTTAATATTATGAAAGCAAAGTTACGTTTAGTAACTACTTGGTTACAGTTATATCCCTTATAGTCCTTGATACCATTAGATCATCGTATACCAAGGAATACTTCGCGTCCAAAGGAGGACTTGAAAAAACTATAACTAAAAAAGATGACCGACAGAGATGTGGGGATAAAACCCATAAAAATCAGTCAGGTGGCGAATTGACCACTTAAATCACCACGTCATCCATACCAATGCATTACAAAAAGATTACATATTCTAAAAGTAGGTACTTATATTAGACGTGACGTGATAATTTTTATTTTACATTATGATATAATTTTAACCCATTACGCAAGAGGGTAAGATTTCTCAATTCAATTGTTTTTTGTTTGTTTCTATGAAATATTTAATTTTATGAATTTTTTTCTTCAGAGTTGACCTACAATGCTTAAAAGAAATTCTAACCTAACTGTGTTAAAATAATCAATAAAAATTTCGAGTGAGATGATATTGATGCGTATTGAATTAGGATGTACTTAAACATAACTTATTTAATACGCGTGAATTCGAATGTGAGTTTGCGCTCTACGCTTTTAGGTAACTACTTAACAGAATACAATTTATTCATCAGAAAAGGTACTTCATATTCATATATTCATTCATTGACAAACTCAAGCAAATTGAAAACCCAAGTTCAAAAGTGTATACAGGCTATGGTACTGCACCATTTTATAGCTTATAAATGGAAATTGCATCATTAAAATTGATTATAACGACTTTGCATAAGTCGTTTATATAGTATCTGTTGATCTCTTCCGTAAACAGTCAGTCCACGACATCAGACTACATGAATAATTAGGTGTAGCTATATATACGTATCCGTATATATATGACGCTATCCGTATGATGATGGATCAAAAATACGGAGTGTCCTCAACCCTATTCAGCCCATGAGTGTCGTAAGAATCGACGAAAGGAGCAAACTACGCAGGACAACAGCACTGCAAAGAGAAGGAAAACTTGACACACACCCTATAGAAACCTGTCTGTCCAGCTCAGCGTGGTATAGTAGGCCGAAACCTCCTTTTTAAGGAGGGGCAGCAGTGGACTGTTAAAGGCTGTTGGATGTGTGATGATTCGATACATATGCGTATAGAGTATGATAATGATGTAGGTATTATTTTCCCTCAGAAAAATCGAGTTGTCATGACACATGAAATCATGATTGTTAAAACCTGTAATGGCATTCCGTTCATACTGAAACCGGATGTAATATATATTTCATGCTGTTTGAACATAACAATGCTCACTTGACCATAGAAAAGGATAATTAAAGGTCATACGCAATGATGAGTTTCCACGTGCTATTAAAAAAAGAAAAATAAATTAAATGTTTGACATATAATACCACATTTGTTGATTCTTTTTACTGGACACGTGTAAGACAATGAAGCTGTTTTCGCATAATGTTTAAATTTATATCACATATTCTTAGACAATGTTTCATAGATTCTCCCTATA